TAGTTTGGTTTATGTTTTCATGAGAAAAACTCACATAAATTTCATAATGCATGGCAAACAACACAACATGGTTTGCACTCTTTCTGTTCTTTTATTGCCTACAATGAACCCAATGTTGCAATTTTAAAGTAATCCATACCCCTTTGAGTGAATGAAAAAGCAGGTAGCTTTCGAAATGCAAAAATGTGACTGAACCTAGCCATTAGACATTGTTTTACGTTTCTGAATATTCAGTGTCCATTGAGACTATCATGAATGGAGTCTGTACAGGTGAACTATGCTTCGACATGACTTAATGACGACCATAAAAAAAGTATTAAATATGTCCATCACTTCAAAATTGCGAATCAGCAGCTTTAAAAAACACAAAAAAAAAGGTTATTTTTTTTGAAAATATGAACAGCAATTATAATAAAATGTGCGTAAATGTGTTTTTGTGAACATTTTTATTTCTTCATTGAAATTAATGCTTACGCAACTCATTTTGCCATTTTATTCTCAATTCACCATTTTTTTCCCCCCCAAAAAAACAAAAGATGTTGGAAAACTAATCATGAGTTTTTGTTACTAGGCCTCATATATTTGACTAAATTTGAACATGGATGACCTAGGTGTCTGATATGAAGGTTATTGCCATGTTCACACGACAGCATTCTATCAGAGCTAAACTACTGCTCCTCCCATTGATTAAGAAGAGATTATCTCCAAAGCATTTACATGGTCGAGCCAAATGCCCTCGTCGAACTGCCCTTATTTTTGCAATCACAGATGCCACCATTCTACAGTTGATCTACAGTTGTCCATAAAGTGTGGCAACATACGCATAGTAGTCGACAGTGTAACACGATACTATAGCTATATGTACATGGAATAACAGATTTCATAAAAAAAAAATGTATTTCGGCCCGATGGGTTTACACGATTGGAGCTATGTCAGGGATCAATCCTATCAATTTATTTGGATTAATTGGAGCCGAGCTTGGCCTGACCAAAACAAGGCCATTTTTGTAAGCCCGAGGCGTAGGGCTTCGATAAAATGCTGTCGTGTAAACACAGCATATGTTTGAAATATTGTGGTTGGAATTTGTATGAAGGGGAATAAAAGACAGTATACATGTATACTGTATATACTATACACACTATGTTTAAATTCCAATCTGACAACAAAAGGAAACAATTTGAGTAATCCTCTCAAGTGCATGTTGGCTATTAAACATTTGGTGGGAGGAAGGTTTCATCCACCATTATAATGCAAATTAGATAATGTGAAAAAGTTTTATCGTACTGGACCGCGTCAGTGGAGATAATGATGAAGATTTTGACTTTGACAGTCTTCCAACTTCTTAATCTCGTAAATAGTTCTAGGTTCATTGAAATGTGATGATGAATACTCTATAAAAGTTTCATTAAAATCCAATTAGTGGTTCTTTACATACCAGTGGAAAATTCATGGAAAAAATTAACTAGTACGAGATTATGCGATATAGGTATAAGTAATTAATATCCACAATTATTTACCCTAAAACTAATGAGGTCTCTGCATAGTCCTTAAGAAACTATGTACCAAGTTTCATTGAAATGTGATGATTACTACTTGAAATAACAAAAGCTGAAAATGAATTAATTATGCAAATTAGGTAATTAATATGTACTGATATTACACTAAAAACTATCAGGTCTGTGCAGTGTCCTATGACATCTATGTACCAAGTTGTATTGAAATGTGATGATTACTACTTGAAATATCAAAAGCTGAAAATTAATTAATTATGCAAATTAGGTAATTAATATGTACTGATATTAGTGGAAAAGCCGAAAATTGTATAATCATTATGCAAATTAGGTAATTAACAGTGCACAGATTTTTACCCCAAACTAATCAAATCTGCGTATTGGCCCAGAGCATCCATGCACCAAGTTTCATCAAAAATCAATGTATGGTTTTTGAGATATCAGTGGAACAGACACACACACAGACACTAACTGCAAAGACTCCCTTTTTGTGCTTCGCACACGGGAGTCAAAAAACAAAATTATTATGCAAATTAGGTGAATGCAAGGACTTTTACCCAAGTTTCATTAAAATTTGACCTGCAGTTCTTGAGATTCTGGTGGAACGGACATACAGACTCCCATTGTACACTTCGCACATACATGTAGGAGTAAAAAATGAATGGGATTTTGATCTCGTAACAGTAAAATACACAGGTTTACTGGATCTCTTGTCAGAGGTGTAGATGCTGATGAGACATTATGGTCGCCTTTCTTCTCAGTCCACTATATTGTCAAAATAGAGCTTTAAATTTTGTGGCTTGGTAATCCTCATTGTTGGTGATGTATGGAATTTGGATTAATCTTTTGATTTTATAGAAATCCTTTCCCAGTCGTTCAAGCACAAACATATTTTTCTGTCACAAACATATTTTCTCAAACACTAAAACAGCATGATTGTCAGCTCAGCTGCGGACTGCTTTGCTATTCTAATTTTACGAAGGTGTGCCATTCCGCAAATTGCACGCATTTACAAGGGTTATGCCACGCACTAGACACAGCGACTGTGTCCTGACATTTCAGAAAGTGTCAGTACGTACATTTTGTTTGGATAACTTTAGCTATTTATCATATAGCAATTTAAGGATGAAATAAATTGTAAGGCAATTGCAACTTGATCTATTTATATTTCAATGTGTCTAAGTGCCCCACTATTAGTTTGATGTATTATGTTGAGTTTGGTTCGATCAAATTTGCTTTAAATATATAACAATCTCCAGGCGCACATAGCAAACAACTTTTATTTCTCTGTTTTTGAAAAACAAAAGCCAGAACAATGTTTATGGGGCTACAGTTTTGATGTAGGATGGTGTACAATGACCTGGAAATTATTTCTTGATTGCAGTACAGATTATTGAGCATAATGTAATGTAGGCTTGGAACACTTCCAATCATAGATTTGCATTCAGAAGCTACCTATAGTCTCATACAATTTTTATTATTTATTTATTAAATATTTCTCTCCCAAGCAGTCATCTGGCTGACTTGATTTTTGGGATTCCATTGCGCCTCTTTTTAGAAGGCACACTGAGCACAAGGTATATGAGCAACTATTATACAGCAATCCCCAATCTCTCAGTTGATTACTATATTCTAGAACCATATCTAAATGTACTCCACATAACTCATCTTATTTTTTCCTACAATTATTTCTTGGTATGTGCGATATTACCATGAAAAAGATTTGAAAAGGCAGCCATCTCAGTGGACAAATAAACTTCTGACTATACACGTTGAGCTGATTTTATCAGACTGTACATTTTAAGGTACAGTGACCTCACACGCGTACAAGCAATTGTTGATGTAAATGATAAAAAATGTTACAGGCATCAATTGTTTGTTTAGGCAGTCAAAAAATGTTAAACAGTTTTAAATATGCTGAGATGAGTGTGGCTTGTCTAAGCAATAAAAAGTCAGGTGTATGATGGCTGATCTATACACGTCAGTTATTTGATTGGCAGAACAGAATTTCACCCAATATCACTTAGTAACTCAAACTGGTAAAAAACGCACTAAACAATGGGTTGGTTTTACTGCGTGAAATGAAGATAACAGAGAGTAGTAGAAAGATGAAACTATGCCAGAGTTGTTTTAGCACAATATCAGTATGTAAACAATTAGCAATCATGATCGAATATCACACAACAATGCACAATACAGAAATACAAGCATACAATCCAATAACTGCGTTATTCTTGCAATAGAGATCTGGTTTTACAAAACGTATATGGTGCGTACACCGACCTTAAAAGGTCAATAACATTTTGAGTGAGTAGTTTACGAGGGGCGCATGTTTTTTTTCCCACACTATTTCTTCAGTGATCGACATCGCGACAAACACGAAAATCTAAATTATTATTTGCGGTCCAGCACGTAAATTATGCGATTGAGGTTGTACTAGAATAACTACCGGACTTCTGGAAAACAGAATATTACACAAATAGCACTGAAACACAAGCGAAAATATATATTTTTCTTTACCTGTCGTTGGGCTGTCTGTTAGCCGTCATTCCTTAGTCATTACACGCCGCCATTTCTGCTGTGACGTCACACCAAACGAATCTCTAAACAATTTCGGGGACTCAGAAGGGATATCCTGCGAAAAAGCGAAAGAATGTGAACTGAACGAGCTTTGTTTATTTTCATGCAATTATGTATGTCTGGATCGGGAGCTCGGTGATAAATGTGGAAAATTAAACACGAAAACAATCTCAAGGTCACCAGACAAGTAGGTCATCGACGCGCCACATAAAACCACAATACCATGTAATAAACAAGAGAGGGCGCTATAACAAGTACAAGTGAAATTGATATTAGTTTGTTGCAGACCGGACCATTTTTTGAGAATTATTAATCTTAATACATGTAATGTTCTCGAAAATGTGTATTTATGGGGTTACTGGTTTCTATGGCAATGCTTTATGATTGTTTATTTATTTGTTGCAACCTTTAAATCAAGGTATCATCAAAAAAAAGTATA